TAATTTCGAGTCTCACAGCAAAGGGTCTGAATACTTATGTAAATAAGTCATATTTTTATTTTGATATGTATGCCAAGATTTCTCAAAACCTGTTTTCTCTTTGTCATTATGGGGTATTGTGTGTAGATTGATGAGGGAATTGTTTTATTTAATCAATTTTAGAATAAGGCTGTAACATAAGAAAATGTGGAAAAGTCAACGGTTCTGAATACTTTCTGAATGCACTGTATGTCACAACAGGTCTAAATATGTGTCATGACAGTGTTATTACGATATTATAACAGGTTATGACAAGTTATGTCAGCTGTTATGACATTGTTATGACCGTGTCATAACGTGTTTTGACTCTGGGTGTCAAGTAAAGTGTTTCCTTCTTTCCATTATGGATACATTTAAGGAAAGTTATTCTTCCTTCTTGGTCTTCGCTTTTACCAAGGATGGTGATTTAGAGTTTCTTATGTATCATTATGATTACACCCTTAGTTTTGTTTGGGGCTGATGAAAAAGCAGCCAGTTTGTACAAATGGTTCTCTTTTCTATGTGTGTCCTTTTGGAGCAGGTGTGTTTCTTGGAGCTTTGCTATATCAACATTGTTTCTTGCTAGAATATCAAGACAGCTGGATAGGAATATTATGGCTTTTCAAATTCCACGAGAGAATAGCTGGTGTTGCCATTGTTTTTCTCAAATGTAATTGTTATATTTAGTGTGCAATTAGGGTTAAGCGCATTGCTCAAGGGCATATCGATACATTTTTCATCTAGTCTGCTTGGGGATTTGAACAAGCGACATTTCGTTTACCGGCCCAACGCTCTAAACCGCTAGGCTACCTGCCGCCCTACAACACTGGTCTAAGCAATACATTCGATCGCAGTTACTGATATTGTACAAATCTTTCTACACTGATTGCGTTAAGAACAGCTTAATAAATCAAATCAAATCTAATTGTATTGGTCACATACACGTGTTTAGCAGATGTTATTGTGGGTGTAGCAAAATGCCTCTAATGTGCTAGTGATGGCTATTTAACAGTGACGGCCTTGAGATAGAAGCTGTTTTTCAGTTTCTCGGTCCCAGATTTGATGCACCTGTACTGACCTTGCCTTCTGGATGATAGCGGGGTGAACAGGCAGTGGTTCAGGTGGTTGATGTCCTTGATTATCTTTTTGGCCTTCCTGTGACATTGGGTGCTGTAGGTGTCCTGGAGGACGGGTAGTTTGCCCCTGGTAATGCGTTGGGCAGACCGCAACACCCTCTGGAGAGCCCTGCTGTTGCGGGGGGTGCATTTGCCATACCTGGTGGTGATACAGCCCAACAGGATGCTCTCAATTGTGCAACTGTAAAAGTTTGTGAGGGTTTTAGGTGCCAAGCCAAATGTCTTCAGCATCCTGAGGTTGAAGAGGCACTGTTGCGCTTTCTTCACCACACTGTCTGTGTAGGGGGACCATTTCAGTTTGTCAGTGATGTGTACGCCAAGGAACTTGAAGCTTTCCACCTTCTCCACTGCGGTCCCGTCGATGTGGATAGGGGGGTACTCCCTCTGCTGTTTCCTGAAGTCCACGATCATCTCCTTTGTTTTGTTGACGTTGAGCGAGAGTTTATTTTCCTGGCACCACACTCCCAGAGCCCTCACCTCCTCCATGTAGGCTGTCTCGTCATTGTTGGTAATCAAGCCTACTACTGTTGTGACATCTGCAAACTTGATGATTGAGTTGGAGGCGTGCTTGGCCACGCAGTCATGAGTGAACAGGGAGTACAGGAGTGGGCTGAGTGCGCACCCTTGTCGGGCCCCAGTGTTGAGGATCAGCGAAGTGGAGGTATTGTTTCCTACCTTCACCACCTGAGGGCGGCCCGTCAGGAAGTCCAGGACCCAGTTGCACAGGGTGGGGTTCAGACCCAGGGTCTCGAGCTTAATGATGAGCGTGGATGGTACAATGGTGTTGAATGCTGAGCTATAGTCAATGAACAGCATTCTTACATAGGTATTACTCTTGTCCAGATGGGATAGGGCAGTGTGCAGTGTGATGGTGATTGCATCATCTGTGGATCTATTGGGGCGGTAAGCAAATTGAAGTGGGTCTAGGTTGACAGGTAAGGTAGAGGTGATATCATCCTTGACTAGTTTCTCAAAGCGCTTTATGATGACAGAGGTGAGTGCTACGGGGCGATAGTCATTTAGTTCAGTTACCATTGCTTTTTTGGGTACAGGAACAATGGTGGCCATCTTGAAGCATGTGGGGACAGCAGACTGAGATAGGGAAAGATTGAATATGTCCGTAAACACACCAGCAAGCTGGTCTGCGCATGCTCTGAGGACGCGGCTAGGAATGTCGTCTGGGCCTGCAGCCTTGCGAGGGTTAACACGCTTAAAATCTTACTTACGTCGGCCACAGAGAAGGAGACCCCACAGTCCTTGGTAGTGGGCCGCGTCGGTGGCACTGTGTTATCCTCAAAGCGGGCGAAGAAGGTGTTTATCTTGCGCGGAAGCAAGACATCTGTGTCGGCAACATGGCTGGTTTTCCTTTTGTAGTCCGTGATTGTCTGTTGACCCTGCCACGTACTCGGCTAGCCGCATTCTAAAAGCGTGTAACTGCTGTGTCTACGACTAAGTCATTCGGATGGTCATTCAGGTGTGTCTTGATTGATGTTTCAGATTATAAGTAATTGAGGTGTATAACTAGTGTCTTTCAAAGATACAGTAATCACTGTATCACAGTAAAACATTTTTTTATTCTTTATTTTATTTTAATAGATGGGTTTTGATAGAGCATTTCTCAAACACAAAGGATTTTTCTCTTTTAGTCTCTTTTATACTGAAATTTAGCTTTTCGCTGCCAATGTATAGGCTAGCCACTACATGAATAAATCTCAAGTAAACTAATTTTAATTAATTTGAATCACTGATATGTGTTCACACCCAGCATCAGATTTCCCATCTGATTAGTGAAGATCAGATTTTTGGCCTGATTTTGGCCTTTTATCTGTCCAACCGTGCCTCCCTCTTACTTGCATTTAGGCCAGTTTGTCTCATTAAAGTAATTTGCCTGGAGCGACCATAACAATATGTTTACAGTTGGCCGCATAACGGACACTGTCCCCCCCCCCCATCCACCTCAGGGGATAGTTACACCAGGGTCACGGAATTGTTTTCGGGTCCACATCAGGCTACAAAGTAAATGACGAAGACCATGTCAGTCAAACCACTGTACCACAAAAAAGTGAGCGGACATTCCCTTTTTTCTATGAATTTGACCTTTTTGTCCAGCTATTGTTATTATTTTGCAGAAACAGATATACCTAATAACCTCAGTTTCCCAGTTTCCCTACCTCCTAGAGCAGGAATCATCAACTAGATTCAGCCACGGGACGATTTTTTTCTTGAGTGGATGGTCAAGGGGCCGGAACACAATTACTAATCATTTGTAGACTGCAAATTTCCTTGCAAGAAGCCCAAACAGATATAATATTGACTAATTTCAAACCTTGCTTTCATTTGTAAACAATCACATACACTAAGTGGCCAGTTTATTAAGTACAACACCCCGTTCACGAAAATGATATGCTTCTACAGACAGTGAGTCACGTGGCCATGGCTTGCTATATAAAGCAGGCAGACAGGCATCGAGGCATTCAGTTACTGTTCGATTGAATGTTAGAATGGGCAAAACAAGTGACCTAAGCAACTTTAAGCATGGTATGATCGTCGGTGCCAGGTGTGCTGGTTCCAATATCTCAGAAATGGACAGCCTCCTGGGCTTTTCACGCACGACAGTGTCTAGGGTTTACCAATAATGGTGTGACAAACAAAAAACATCCAGTCAGCGGCAGTCCTGTGGGCGAAAACAGCTTGTTGATGAGAGAGGTCGAAGGAGAATGGCAAGAATCGTGCAAGCTAACAGGCGGGCCACAAACAGGCAAATAACGACGCAGCACAACAGTGGTGTGCAAAACGCCACCTCGGAATGTAAAACTCGTTGTTACGGATGGGCTATTGCAGCAGACGACCACACCGGGTTCAACTCCTTTCAGCTAAAAATAAGAAGAAGCGGCTCCAGTGGGCAAACGATCACCAACACTGGACAATTGAGGAAAAACATCGCCTGGTCCGACGAATCCCAGTTCCTGTTGCGTCATGCTGATGGAAGAGTCAGGATTTGGCATAAGCAACATGAATCCATGGTCCCAGCCTGCCTGGTTTCAACGGTACAGGCTGGTGGCATTGGTATAATTGTGTGGGAATGTTTTCCTGGCACACGTTAGTTCCCTTGATACCAATTGATCAACGTTTGAACGCCACACCTTATAGAATCCATGCTGAAGAATTCCGGCTGTTCTGGAGGCATAGGGGGGTCCGACCCGGTACTATCTGGTTGTACCTAATAAACTGCCCACTGCGTGTATATCTTTCTATTATGCATCAGAATAATGTGGAAAATGAAAATCACATAGAGCTGATTTGCTGGTGTTTTTACAGTGTTTTATGTCCAACAATATACAAGTGCTCAGCATATGTGGGAACTCCTTTAAGACTGTTGGAAAAGCATTCCAGGTGAAGCTGGTTGAGAGAATGCCAAGAGTGTGCAAAGCTGTCATCAAGGCAAAGGGGGTGGCTATTTGAAAAATCTCAAATATAAAATATATTTTGATTTCTTTAACACTTTTTTGGTTACTACATGATTCCATATGTGTAATTTCATAGTTTTGATGTCTTCACTATTATTCTACAATGTAAAAAATAGTAAAAATAAAGAAAAACCCTTGAATGAGTAGGTGTGTCCAAACGTTTGACTGGTAGTGTATATATAAAAAATAATTTGCTCAGAAAACTTTGGGGGCCAAATAAAATCACCCCAGTTGGGGAACCCTGTCCAAGAGTGACTGACATTTTTCAGATCTAATGTATAGCCCATTTTACAGACCCTGAAACCGTTACGAGGCGGGTCAGAATATCTTGACTTATGCACAGATCCAAGTACCAAATGCATGAATTGAGGCCTCTGACCGAGGCAGGAAAAATACTGCCACCATAGTGACTGACTCTGTGACGCTCTGGCTCCAGCAAGGCACACTGTGATTGGCTGAAGCTCAATCAAGACACATTGTGATTGGCTGAAGCTCAAGCATGGTGAATTGTGATTGGCTGAAACCTGTCTGACCTTTCTCCAGCGCCTCAATCTGCTCTTGAGTGAAGCTGGTCCTGTTCCTCTGTAGCTTCCTCTTCAGCTGCAGCCTCAGCTGTGACTCCTCACCCTCATCCCTCTCCACCGGCCCTCCTCCTACTCCTCCTCTTCCTCCCCCATCTCCTCCACCACCACCTTCGTCTCCCAGGCCTCCATCTGTGTCCGACAGACAGCCCTCGGGCACTGACGGAGAGAGGCGGTGGACAAACATTAAAATGTCAGACGAATTACATTGACACATGCACTGTTATTCTGGGTTGGGGTCAATTCCATTTAATTTCAGTCAATACAGGAAGTGAACTGAAATTCCAATTCCAATTTTTCTCATTGCTTTGACTGATTTAAAATGTAATTTGACCTAAATCCTGCTGGTAATATTTACAAACAATAAACAGACAGTATTTAGACTGAGAGAGAGTTGGTTAAGAATTCTAAGGCAATGGCCATGAAAACGAGACAGCATTTCATAGGGTTGTGTAATGGGTTGATATGTTAATTGTTACATTGTCTTATCCTTCCTTAGTGAATGCGTTGAATTTCAACTCACCTGTGCTGTGTTGTGTTTGTACTGTGGTCAGGTCATGGTACCAGTTGTTGGGCTCAGTCCAGTTCAAGCCGCTTTGCAGGTTCATTATGGTTAACTTCTCATACATGATACGTTCTCCCCCTCCGCCAGAAATAGGAACGCCAAACACCTTAACCCGAGCTCTTCCAGCCCTCTCTCGCTTCTCGCCTCACCCTTGACCCTCGCCCCTCTCGCCTTCCCTTAGAGACTGGAAAAGCTGGGGTGGGAAGAGAAGAGAAAGAAGGGGGGTTGATATCACATGAGTTCAGACATGACCGGCATTGTGGCGAATTAGCCTCACGATGACAGACAGAAATGGAGTTAGTTACAGGCATGCTGTCATAACACGTGTGTTGTACATTCATATGCTAGTATACCACAGGGAACCACGCGGTACATTAGAACCAACTCTGAGAGGAATTACATTTATTATGCTTCTTGCTTTTAGCTCCATCATCATAACTTCTAAGCACACACACACACACACAGTGTATTTTCTTGAGAAGTCACCACTAAACCACCTTCTAAACCCACTCATATCAGTGGTTAAAATAATTTCACGCAAACACACCGGTATATATCTTCATCTGTACACAAACACTTCCATTTTACATGCATATAGTATAACTATTCTTGTGTCCTCTTCTGTAAATCCTAACACGGCATCAATTCATGTAACAGACACATGCAAAGGCACAGTATGCAGGTAACAATAAGAGCCTGTTTTCTCCAACCCTGACAAGCCAGAGTCAAAGGTCACGCACTGCTTTGGCTGCCGAAAGGTTCCCGAAAGTGCTTCAACCAAAACTAATCAACTCTGTCCTCTGTCGCTGTATTATTCTTTATTTTTACTTTCTATGTCTGTTCATCTGATGTGTCTCACTAAGTTGTGTCTCTCCTCAAACCTTCCCTTAAATCTTTGTTATAGCCACGAAATCTACCGACATTTGATTTGATTGGTATTTCATGACACAAAATGATTAAAAGATGCAAACTCACCATAGGATGTGGTGAAAGATATGTACTTCTGAGATGGAAAAAAACACTTATTACTCCACTTTGCACTCTTTTATTCCCTCGTTCACCCCTCTCCCTTGTTCTCTGGCTTTGTTGACAATACTATGTGTGCAAAGGAGAGAGTAAAAGAGAGAGAGATGGGGAGAGAGAGAGAGAGAGAGAGAGAGAGAGAGAGAGAGAGAGAGAGAGAGAGAGAGAGAGAGAGAGAGAGAGAGAGAGAGAGAGAGAGAGAGAGAGAGAGAGAGAGAGAGAGAGAGAGAGATGGAGTGCTCAAGAGAGAAATGCGAGAGTGTCCTCAGAAAGATGGATAGAGAGAGGGGGGTAAAAGAGAGAGAGAGCGAAAGCGCGAGAGAGCGAGAGAGAGAGAGAGAGTGGGAGAGAGAGAGAGAGAGGTGACAAAGTAAGTCAACGTCAGTGTCAAGTTTGAACTTAATGCCAGGGAGAGGAGAACGGGAAACGAGAGAGGAGGGTAAAAAGCAGAGATAATGGAGAGATAGTGGATGATAAATAGAAGGAATTAATCTTTAGGTATAGAACAAGTGTAAATAGTCAGAGATATATGGGTATTAGTTTAATAGACATTATGTAAAATAATGTGGATATGGACAACTCCACTTTTTCATAAAACTAGTCATCCACAGTGATGTATACTTTGTCATAACCACTATCACTGCATGCTGATGTTATATGTTACTTTTATCTGTCAATTGATCTTTATTTTTCTGTTTGATGAGGGTAGTATAAAACTAAAAGTCATATCATATGTTTAACACTTAAACACCATTACTCGTATTGTTTGCATCAGTGCAACCAATAGCAGAGGGGTAGATAATCTGCTTAATAATATCTAAATTCAGATTTTGTATTGTAATTATTTCAGTTTAGAAGTGCTTGTATGGCATGTGAACATTTAATTTCTAAAATAAACATAAGGCCTGTGAAATTATTTGTGTTGGAGTATTACGTCCACTGACAATTGTGAAATTGTTCTATCAATATTCTGTCAGTCACCATTGTATACTCTAACCAGTGATGGACCACTGTGTATAGTGTCTGTTTCCCAAAACCATGTCAAAGTAACATCACACATAAAATCAGTAGCATCACACATAAGAAACATGAATGTGTTGGAAATTCCAAATTGTTTGCATAGTCAATTTACACATAGCACTGACACTAGTGCTGTTATGGTGACTGTATTACCGCCACACCGGCAGTCACGAGTCATGACAGCAGTTAAATTCCATGTGACCATTTAGTCACGCTAATTAGGCTTCTCCAAGCTCTGATGCTGCTGATGGTCATTAGTAGCCTACCAAATTTGCTAACTGCCTGGTACTCTGCACTCGATTGTCCCTCTAATCACTCTGACATCAATGCAAATGTATTTGAAAATCTAATCAAACACTTAATGAGAGCCCATGAGCTCATGTTGCGCAACATTTCTATAGGCTATGCAATTGCGTGAGAAAACAGTGATGGCCTCCTTTAAAAAGAGGAGGATCCCATCAGCTAGGCCTACTATATTCATTTCTCAGCTTTCCTAATATTAAGCACAATTTCTTCTCTTTTGAACAAGAATATAGCCTACCTGGCTGGCATGAAAATGAATGACGGGAAAAGCGTCCTCCATTCGCTGTTTAAGTGCATAGATGATATGTCTTTTTTTCCCCTGTTTTGAGACAGGTGAATGATAATTCTCCATTCTAAATCAAAACAAATTTCACACCTATATTATTTAGAATAGGTAAAAACAAAATTAAATCAAGAAGAGTGTGATGGGTGACAATATTAGCCTATCACTTGTGCATAATATATTATAATAATTTGTGAATGAAGCCCAGCTTAGGGCAAACTGCATGCTTTTTTTGTGACTTTTTCAAATCATAGTCGCACACCTCATGTAGCCTAGCCCATAGGCCTATATGTTTTTCTAAGGTTTGTATCACAACTAAAGTGGCCAAATAACTTCTTAAAATGAAGCACATTAATCCGCTTTAGAACTGGTGTAGAGCCTAACTGGCATACAGCACTTGAGTTTCAAGTTTGGGGAAGATCATTTTTACCATAAAAATGCACCTTTATAATAAAATAATTACATGCATAATCACATTTGTGTTCACTTTTGAGAATGGTGTTTTCCTGCTAATGGAACATTCGCGCATATAGCCTACTGCCGTGTGCGCATTGCTGCGCTTAGAATGTAATGAAATATCCTAATAGTTTAGCAACATTTTAAGCTAAACATTGTCATCTGTTGCGTCAGGCTCATAGCTTAAAACAGGTGTTTTGATGCTAGTGGTTATATAGTCCCGGACTATGTTTGGAATACTTAATTCTCGCAGAGAATAGAATAGGTCAACTTTTGTACTATGGGGGATAGTAGTTTGACATAGGCTAGTGCTTTTGCTGTTCGTTAGGCCTACTCATCTTGCTGGCGGACTAAAGTAAATGTAGGCAGTTCTTCCAATATCTTCAATATGACCCAAACAGTTACGTTCCCGATGTGTCTGTCTTCACTTGTAGCCTGTGAAAAGACCCAATCATGTGACTGAGAGCCATGTGAGTGAGAGAGCCATGTGAATGAGAGGTGCATCGGCATGCAGCCAGGAGAAGGGAATTATAATTATTATATTAAGCCCAAGGGCACAACGGCCACACAAACGGGATGCAGTCAGGAAATTTGAGGCATTATCAAGTGCTTGTCAAATTGTAATTGAGAGACAAAGCAGAGCTCATGCCTTTCATGCAACTTTTTTCAAATCATCATTAGAGTCGCATCATGCAGCCTTAGAATGTATAAAAAATCTAAACATTTAGCCCAACATTTGCATCACAACTAAGGTTACATAAATAGCTCTAAGTTATGCATATAGGAGGACCTGTTTCTTTGTTAACTGCTCAACACAGAATAGCTGCATGTGCGCACTCCCTCAAATAGTTTGCAGAAAATATCCATTATATTTTATTCAGATATGTTCAATTGTATTTGTCATACTATACAATAATATAAAATAATGCCACGGAATTCTAAGCAAAACTTGTCTGCTAAATAAACTAGTGTAGCCAACAGCAATATGGCACAGCCATATCATGGCCTAAAATAAGGACAACTCAGAGTATGTTATTCTGTTCTTCTGAAATAGACTACATTTCTTTATATCATGTTTCTTTAGACCTGTCTAAAATAAAGAATGGATTTATTGTGATGGTGTAGGCTATATTACATGGATTTATTTGATTTTTTGTAAATGTAAATGTTCGAAAGGTCTGCATCAATGGCTTGTAGGCTACGCATGGAATGTTTACGTTAATTAACGGTCAATTACCGTGAGACCGGCCATTATTTGCTTGACAATCACCGGCTGACAAAATGTCATGATCGCCACAGCCCTAACTGACACATACACTTACCCAACCAGACATGCCACCAGGGGCCTTTTCACAGTCCCCAGGTCCAGAACAAATTCAAGGAAGCTTACAGTATTATACAGAGCCATGAGTGCATTGAACTCCCTTCCATCTTATATAGCGCAAGTGAACAGCAAACCTGGTTTCAAAAAACAAATAAAGCAACACCTCATGGCGCAACACCTCACGGCACAACACCTCTCCCCCATGTGACCTACTTGTTGTGTGTATGTACAGACATGTATGTGTAACTGATAGATGCACACACACACACACTACAAGTTCATATTTTTAAATGTACACTACCAAACAAAAGGTTGGACACACCTACTCATTCAAGGGTTTTTCTTTATTTTTACATTTCTTTACATTGTAAAATAATAGTGAAGACATCACCTCTATGAAATAAACATATGGAATAATGTAGTAACCAAAAAAGTGTTAAACAAATCAAAATATATTTGAGATTTGAGATTCTTCAAATAGCCACACTTTGCCTTGATGACAGCTTTGCACATTCTTTGCATTCTCTCAACCAGCTTCATGAGGTAGTCACCTGGAATGCATTTAATTTAACAGGTGTGCCTTCTTAAAGGTTAATTTGTGGAATTACTATCCTTCTTAATGCGTTTCAGCCAATCAGTTTTGTGTGTTTTTGTATCTATCAGTTACACATATATGTCTGTACATACATATAACAAGTAGGTCACATGGGGGAGAGGTGTTGTGCCGTGAGGTGTTGCGCCGTGAGGTATTGATTTATTTGTTTTTTGAAACCAGAAGATAGCCCTATTTGGTAAAAGACTAAGTCCATATTATGGCAAGAACAGCTCAAATAAGTGAAGAGAAATGACAGTCCATCATTACTTTAAGACATGAAGGACAGTCAATACGGAACATTTCAAGA